CTAACACAGCTTTGATCGACACAGGATTAAATATTAATGACTTTTCAAGCAATGAAACAGACATAGAATTTGCAGAAATCGAAATTTTTAATGAAAATCCCAGCAATCTATCTGTAGCTGAAGAAACGATTATGAAAAATACTGAAAATTTTATTAGTATGAATTTACAATGTTACTTAATTATTGTACTTACTAGAGAAAAAAAATTAAACTTATAAAATTTTTTTGGCTCTAGCTATAGATGAATTTATTGAGAACTTAAAACCCGGAAAGAACACAGGAAAACACTGTGGAAAATACAGATTTTCATACTCAAGAAACTCGTAATTTAATTGATGGATTCACTGACATTCAATCTGATGTATCACAACATATTCGAAAAAGGTCTGTGCAAGGTGCCGATGAAAATGAAGCTACTTTAGCCGTAAAAAATTTCAGCCTCCCTAATGATCATAAAGGTATTTCTGAATTAATAGTTTTGCCTTCTTTGTTGCCCAATTCTATTATTCATTTGTAAATATTTTTTAGTAGACATTCTAGATTTATCATTGTTAACCAAGAGTAGTAATGCATATCGATCTAACGAGTTAAGCAATGTTCTTCGTAGTCCTAATATGATTGATCAAATCAACAGTGCAGTCGACAACACAGAAGCGTTTTAATTAAAGTGCGCTCCTTCTATAGATACAATTCAATACTTTAAAGTCCCTCAATTTAAGGAAAAAAAGTCCAAAAAGAGATATTCGCTGACTGCACTCCCTTCAGTCGTTGACTTTTTCATCGTTCAACTTTAAAAAAAAAGATATTAAGAAATTAAAAGAAAAACAAGCGTTAGACAGAAGAGTACAAAGGGAACAAAATAAAATTCTGCGCGAAAAACAAGAGAATATTAATAAAGGATTCCATGTTAAGTCCAAACAACTATTGAATGAAAAAAAGACTTATCTGTCAAAATTAAAAAGCTTAAGGTCGTTCTTCACCTAACCCATTTACTTAAACTTACAGGGAAACTTGTAGGGATTGTTATTAAAGTTACAAGGCATCTTCTCTTAAAATTTCAAGTCCCTTTATCAGGCAAATTTTTGAAAACAAGTCAGTCAAAAAATGCACTTTTAACATGTATTCTTATGTAGGTTACTTTTCCATACTCCGATATCATGTAATATCTCGTAAAGTAGACTTAAGATCGTAATATAAAAAGTTTGTACTGAAAGAAGAACTTTTCAGCTTTCTAATAATATCAGAAAAGTTTGGGCTAATCAGGGAAATAAAATACGATATTTAATCGTAAACGTAATCAGTTATTGATCAGCGAGAGCGAAATGTCTGCCGTGTAAACGAGCAAACGCTCGGATCGCGCGCGCAAATTTAAAATGACTCACTTACTAATATGGCAATAAGACAATCAGTAAAATTATTTTATGATTAATATTTGTTGAAAATGAAAATTAGAGTTTATTTTTGTGTTAAAAACGTACATAAGGTAATTATAACAAGAAGCATATCAATATTTAGTTCTGAATATATTGATAACTCATAAATAATAAAAGTAAGTACTTGCATAAATAAGATAATTGAAATATCATGCAACATAATGTTTAATTTAATAATATGGCCATTTGTAGTACTATTTATTTTCAAAGAAATTGTATACTTTTTCTATGACTGCAGAATTTTTTGTGACTCTCGGTTTCTCTTCAACATTTTCAGTAAACAGAACACGTAAACCTTCTCTTTTATTTTTGTTGAAAGCCTGTTGCATAACCTCATGAGTGATTCCTACCTTTGACAGTTTATTTATTATTCTTGATGATAATGTATCTTTATAACTCAATAAAGAAAAACAAAAGTGAGGGAGTTACGTTTGTGCGGCAGACGACGCTCAAAGATTGTATATATAGGTACATGCAGAAATCGGCGGCAACGTCTGCTTAAGTAGGAGCGTACATGCCATTTTCAGAACCTTGCGTCAAAAAAAATTTTTTTTATAACTCTTACTCTAACTTTATTAGCTTGTTTATTGGTATGTAAATGCAATGATATTATAGTCAAGTGCCAGTACAACATATTTTATGTTGCAAATAATACACTAATCTAAATAATAAAAGTAAGTACTTATATAAATAAGATAATTGAAATCTCATGCAACATAATGTTTAATTTAATAATATGGCCATTTGTAATACTATTTCTTTTCAAAGAAATTGTATACTTTTTCTATGACTGCAGAATTTTTTGTGACTCTCGGTTTCTCTTTAACATTTTCAGTAAACAGAACACGTAAACCTTCTCTTTTATTTTTGTCGAAAGCCTGTTGCATAACGTTATGAGTGATTCCTACCTTTGACAGTTTATTTATTATTCTTGATGATAATGTATCTTTATACCTCAATAAAGTCGATTTATTGAGATCCATTGTTATTTTTAATTGTCTTTCCTCGTTAATTTGACACATGCTTTTTGCAAAATGTTTAATTTCAATTTCTGTCTTGAACATAACTTGAAGAAGTTTTTTCAGAACCTGGACATCCTCGGGAGCATTGTGGAGTGCTTGTGGTTTGTACTCTGGTACAAAGTCCCCTAACAAAGTTCCAAGAGTGAATTTACCTATCTGCTTTTTTCTGTCTTGCAGAGTACATTTAAAAATTTGCAACGAGTCCGCAAACACTTTCACACAACTGCTAAATTCTGTGTACAGCGAACATTAGTGCATGAATCTGATAAGTCTTGGGTTATCAAACCTTTGTGAAAGATTATAATTTATTAGTTAATTATATACATAAATAAAATAATTTATAAGCCTGAAAATAACGTACGAGAATCCATTATGAGCGAGTAAAATAATAGGAGACTTGAAACCCTGCAGATATTCTACGAATCTTTGACAAGCGACCTTGGCAGACACAGCAGTCACACGATGCTCGTATAAGTGTAATTCACCTTCCGAAATGTGAAGTCCTGTTATCTGTGTTGCTGCCTTTGTAAATGGCCTGGATGGTATAATATACGAGTTGAAATCATTGTCCTCTACAAACGAAGCAGCTAAAATCTGAAATAAAGAATCAGTTTTCCATTTCAAGTACATTGGAATTCACTATAACTACCATAAGTATACTTACTTGGACAATATCATCTAGGTGAGATAAGCTAGTAGTTTCCAAATCGTAGAGTAGTATCTTGCAAGATGTTAAATCGGCTTTTTCCTGCGTGAAAACTGTGTCAGTAGGGATAAGACTTGAAACATCGGTCGATGCAAAACCACTTTCATAAGTGATGCCCTCTTTTCTGTCATAGGATGCATTTTTAGAAACTCGTAGATTTTTGAGAGTTTGTCTCCTACGTTTTATCGTAGTAGTTTTTGAACGCACTGACTTTATTTGTCGCAACACATCTTTTTTTTGTCTTGACAAGGAACTTCCGGTGCTCTGTCTAAGGCCTATTTTTTGGAAAACCGAACTGGAATATTGACAGCCCATATTTTTCTGACAAATAGCAGCGCTCACACGAAAAGTCAATGACTCTGATGCTGCATAATGCCTGGCTTTTGGGCACTTCGTTGAAATGATTTGATTAATAGATTTGTTAGCCTGAGTTGAACCACCCTCTGAAATTTTCTGCGAGTTGGAGGCGTAACGATTTATAAGCTTACTTACTTGTACTTTCAAATCTGCATCTGTCAACGGCTTTTCTTTGGGTAGATATTTATGGGTATATTGTTTATCCATATTACCCTCGCACCAAGCTCCACAGAGAGTGTGATCACCATAAGCATGGGGAATTATTGCTTTCAAAGCCTGTGCAATTTTTTTGGCATCCCCCTTATTTTGTTTAATGGCTATTGAAAAGCTTTTACCAAAGTAACTAATGAGGCTTGGTGATAATTTTAGACTATACAGATGACTGGTGAAATTTTTTTTCACATGATTAAAATCGGTCCATTTCTCCACTTCATAATTTGCTTTTCTTCTAACAGATGCTATTGTGCAGCTATCATCATAACCGATTAATGTCCTTACTTCAACATTCTCTTGTTTAAATAAATTATTGTCAGTAAATATTTGAACTGCCATGTCTGCTTCCATAGATTTAGCAGACCCTTCATAATTGTCCAATCTTGCAGAGACGACAATCCTTGCACCTTACTGCAAAAGCAAAATGACCTTGAATATTATTATTTTTGTATTTTAAAAACTAGTTGGAAATCAATTTCAAAAAAAGCTTGGGTTTTCCTATAGCTCCTTTACCACTCAAACTATTGTAAGATTGACCTGTCCCTCGTTTTTGCCACCCGGTGTCATATGAGGCCTTTAAAAAAACTGGAGGAAAAGGATCGGGATCATTTCGAGGTTTCCCATTCACTCTGCATAACAAAAAATGGAGGATTAAAGAGATTGGAACAGTTGAGCATGAAAATTAAAATGAGGTTCATTATGAATTTACAATGTTACTTAATTATTGTACTTACTAGAGAAAAAAAATTAAACTTATAAAATTTTTTTGGCTCTAGCTATAGATGAATTTATTGAGAACTTAAAACCCGGAAAGAACACAGGAAAACACTGTGGAAAATACTGTATGAATCATCTTGTCAAAAAATTAATCAGAAATCACTAACAAAAATTGTAAACAAAAAAACAAGTTATTCGAATCACAACTGCTGGGTAGTTGTTAAATCTTATAAATTCTGCTCTGGTTCGTTCTCTAAAGTAAGTTGTTTTTCCAATCGAATGGCTTAAATGCACGACTCTTCTGCCACTTCTTCTATTGCACGACCAACTATTCTTTCGCACCTTTTTGTGGTTGCTGGAGCAGGACCTGTTACATCTACAGCTGATAAAATTGTATTAACATGCGTATCTCCAACACCAGCATCGATCACACCTGCAAATTTGTTACATTCGTTTAGATCTTGTATTTTAAACATTACTGTACATTTGTTTTATATACAATTCCTTACCAAAGGCTAATTTAACATTAACTTCATACGTCGACGAACTTCCACTGATACGTTCATTAGTGTGAACTGTTTGTATAATATTGCACTTCGTACATCTGACTCTGAATAGGCTGGCCAACCCAATTTTTCTCTCTTCCTCCACATTCAATAATGATAAAGGAATCGAACAATCTTTACACCACAGCTAAGAGGCCAATGTTTTGATTTCAACAACATGCCTTGCCTTTCCGATTATACGAGACACATTTGTGTCATCCTACGAATATTTAAAATGAGTTAAAATGTTTTAAAAGTAAGCTTCCTTTACATTCATGGTAATTGTAGAATTAATAATACTTACTCGATAGCTCGTGTTTTGGCCGCCGATGCCAATATTTTATCTAGCCTTAACTGTACTTTCTTTTTAACAAATTTTTCTTTCATTTTCCCGCTCGTACAGCGGGCAGGATATTTAGGTGACATCACTATTTTGTACGATAACAATTATTTAACTATTTCACTGACTGATAAGGGATACATCGGATAATAAAAACAAAAGTGAAGGGGTTACGTTTGTGCGGCAGACGACGCTCGACGATTGTATATATAGGTACATGCAGAAATCAGCGGCAACGTCTGCTTGAGTAGGAGCGTACATGCCATTTTCTGAACCTTGCGTCAAAAAAAATTTTTTTTTAACTCTTACTCTGACTTTATTAGCTTGTTTATTTGGATGTAAATGCAATGATATTATAGTCAAGTGCCAGTACAACATATTTTATGTTGCAAATAATACACTAATCGAAAATTAGAAAACCACAGGGTCCCGTGTCGCTTTGATACGGCACCATCGTGAAGAACCACCTTAAGACACAAATAAAAACTTCCAGCTCAAAAGAAAAAACTCACTTGACTAATCAGCTGCAGCATTTAAATGCTTGTTTAGACTGCGTGCAACAATCTATAATACAAGAAAAACTAATTGCTGTACAAGCAAAAATAAAAATCAAACTAGAAAAATTATAAGTTATAATGCTTATACTCCATTATTATGCGTGTATTCATTTTTATTTATTTTATTAAACCAATGTTTCAAATGAATTAAAATTGATTTTCTCCCACAGCACATTTTTTAGTTGTTCCACTACTGGTACTGATCATGTCCTACTTTTGGATTTGGTCATTCAGTGTGTTCTACCACTAGAGTTTTCGATTAACTGTAAAAATATCAAATAAAATGAATTTTTATACCTTCATTGATGATTTTTTTTTGTTTCTTCTGTAGAAGACCATTTAAAGTGGTTGACTTACTTTTGTGTAACTCGAAAACGTTCATTTCTATAGAAAAAATGAAGATTTATAGATACGTTTAGATAAGTGTCCTACTATTGGGTCTTTTACCTTACAACAAATGTTTTTTGCAATAGAGACGTTCAGATGAAGTAAAAAAGGCTTGATGTATTTCAACTCTATTAAAAAAATTGAATTATGAAAAAAATAGCTGTCAACAGAATTTAAAAAAATTGAACAACAAAAACCATAAATTAAAAAAAATACAAGTTAATTTGGTTTTAAAAATGACAATGCTTTAGAATGTAAGGTACACCTCTTTCACGTACGCTTAGAAGGAAAAATTACATTACAATAAACATTACCATCTGTATCAATATTTTCAATACTTACGACTTTTCTGTTTAATACTCATTATTTACATGCTTAGTGAAAGCATTAGGTACTGTTCAATAATTACTAGTTGATTTGAAATGATTTTCTAATTTGAGAGTTCAGCTTGAATTGTATTGGAAAAATCATACCAAAAACTTGCATTTCTTAAGAACTGCATTTAACATTTTTATAGTTTTATCTTGAAATGCTTATTAACATTGACCATCCAAACTTAAAGAACTAAATTTACATTGCAAAGTAATTTTAAGAAACAACAGTGATATAGTGTGTGCTTTAAAAAATCATCGCGCATTTAATAGGTTGAAGAAAACCGGGAGACTACGACAATAGCCGAATGTATGTAGTCAGTGCGCATCACTTCTCAGCGCGCTTCTCAGTGACTGACTAAGTACATTCATTCGGCTATTGTCGTAGTCTCTCGGGTTTCTTCGACCCTACGTTAAATGCACAGTGATTTTGAAACGAGTGAGTTAAGCTCTTGTTGATTTAAAATTAGTGAAGTTCTTAATTAAAAATGTGTAGTAGACAAGCGTAATCTTGCGGTTCCTCATAATAATGTTGTTTTGTATAGTTAAGGTGCATCTAATGAAGTAATAATTATAAAATGGAGTGTAAGTATACTATAAAATTCATATACATACAATGTCGTGTTAAATCATAGTACGACAATATTTTTATAATAATATAACACTCCTATTGTTTGCTTATTATTTGATTACTTGCAAATATGTGCATTATTCTGATAAATCTGTGTTATCAAGAAGTTTGAGTGCTATTTAAATGTTCTATTTATTAGTTTTTTAATCTTCTAACTCAATATATGGTTTAACAAGAGTAGATGTGAGCAAATTTTCTGAAGGCATGTATAGTTTTTTATGTGGATGAAAGTATTACATGAGTTATAGTTTAATAAAACCAGTTGATTGGGATTGTTTATGCAATCTCTGGTTTTTATGTTAACAGGACTAACATCAAATTTTTTTTACGACGCTCCTACATACATCGATTTTTCTGGTGCAAGCAGCTTTAACGTTAATACGTTTAATATGGAAGCAGTGCAGATGAATGGAAATCAACATGTAGAAACATTCAGCAGTTATTAAAGCCAAAATAATGATCATCAAATCTCAAAAAGTAATTCAGGTGAGATTAATTACTCGTATTGATGATGTTAATTTTGCTGTTTAAAGGTTAAAAACATTAAGTCTATAATGCTGTACTTTGCGTGGCACGAAAAAACGCCGTTCAATAAAAAATAAAACTAGTGCACCCTGTTTATATGCAACAGCCTGACATCGTGGTATTCATTTGAACATATATAAGAGCAAAAAGAGATTTGAGACTCGAACTGATCGCACTCACACTACCAAATACAATTTTTTTTTGCACGTGAACATAGTATTCTGGTTTGATACTATTGCATACTATTTTGCTTCAACGCTTGTTTTAAAAATACAAATGTGCGCATGTGCTAGGGCTCGGACGAGGACCCATCAGCTTATATGGAAATAAAAACATTGGCTTATTTGTTAGAAATGTAAAATTTCTTAATTGACTTGTTCTGAGTACACCACATGTAGAAAAATAATTTTTAAAATAAAAATTTAGTAGAATAATATTAATACTAGAACTATACTTTAATATTGTGCTCGAGTAAAAAATGTTAAACAATTACCATAAGAATCTGAGTAATGGTACAGTATTTAAAAAATTTTTTCTTGCGTTGTTTACCGGTAATTTGGTCTAAAATATTGAAAAAGTGTGTCTTAACTATTCATAAACCGTTATACAAAATGCCTACTGATTTTGTGGTTGCTGATGTAGATATAAACCACCTTTTTTTTTTTTGAAAAAGTAGTAATTTGCACTTGATGTAGGAAAACAAAGGGCAGATTTTTTATTGTATTTGAATATATCGACGCCTCGTACGAAGTCTATCCTTATTCAGATTTTAAAATGTTAATTAAAATGAGAAAATGTGAATAAGGCTAGACTTCTTACGAGGCGTCGATATGTATAAATGAGGTATTCTTTGTGAACGAATGACCCCCCCCCTTCTCCAAAATTGGTTCGATTTATTTAGGTTCTGTAAGTATTCAAATAAAAGATCTGAGCATCTAGTTTCTAATGCCGAGTGGCATATATATTGAGTCAACATTCCTGATCCAATATGGCTGCCTGAACCACGTGACCTACAGAATTTCTTCAATAAAACTACTATAAATCTCGTGGCACGGACCCTGCAAAGGTCTCAAAGGTCTCAAAACGCTTTAATCAAAAGTCTCGAGATCATCTATTAAATGTTGTTCAATGTATCAAATGTTGAATGAAAAAATTTTTTTTATCTACTGTAAAATCCGAAATGGCAGCAATACCACGTGACCAACAGCTTTTTTTCAAGAAAACTACTATAAATCTCGCAGCATAAACCCTACAGGGGTCTAAAAA